TCGAAGTGGAGGAGGCGGGCACGGGCGGGCGTCGCGGTCGCCCCGCGGAGCTGTGCTTCTACTCGGGCCGCGTGCTCGGCCACCCCGGCTCCCTCGTCTCGCTCAGCGCCTGCGGCGCCACCGGCGGCCTGGTACTGCCCGCGCCCCCTCCGGGTCCTCCAGTCGGGTCTGTGACGGCCCCCGGGGTGGTCCCTGCGGGGAGGTCTGGGGGTGGGGAGTGAGGAGCCAGAGGGAACCCCTTTCCCCCCCACCCCCACTCGGACATAATCGACCTTCCGGAGGGCAAAGTGGGTGGAAGGGAAAACTAAATTGTCCAGTATCTTCCACCAACTGTATTGTGTGTGTGTGTGTGTATGGAAGTAGGGGGAGCCTACGGAATTGGGGTAGCATGGGGAGAAACCGCAGTAGGGGAGTGCGCGTCTTCCAGAGTTGAGATTGGCCGGTAGACAGAGAGGCGCCCCTCATCCAGTTGCAAGAAGGCATTTGCACCTGCACAGGTGTGTGTGCACGCGCGTCATGGGAACACCCGTATGTGTATATCTGATCTATTCGTTATGTATTGTGATCGTGATATATATGTATATATGCATGTATATTTCATAGATGTGAGATATATATAAATATATATGTGTATATATACATATATGACGGGGACAGGGGGTGAGGGGGTGGGCTATTTGTCTCCTTTCTGTCTCTATCTGGAAAAGGAAGTTTGGCGAGGTCTCCAGACACACGCCTGTCATTACCCCTATTCCTCATGGTCCACTGGTGAGAAACGCGCTGGAGGGCACAGGTGTGGGTGTTTCCCTGTGCAGTTACAGGCACTGGCCTGCACCCACCCCCGGACCCAGCAGGTGCCTTATTGGTGAAAAGACCCTGGCCCTGCCCCAGAGGCGTCTTTGCTGCGGTATTAGCTCCCCTGCCTCCAAGACCCTGCCTCCCCATTTGCAGTGCCTGGAACAGGGCCTGTGCCCGGCAGGGGGAGTTCTCCTGTGCTTTGGCCCTGCGCATGCTCTGCTCGCTTTCGATCAGTTTCTCCTTCCTGTCCCGAGGGGAACGCTGGGTGCCCACTGGGCGAGCTCTGTCAGCAGAGCCTGGTACTGAATCGGAGCGTGAAGCACACGCGTGGTTTCTCGCCCGCGATGACTGACGTCTGTCTCTGATATTATTTTGTGTCTGTCTGTCCCAGGCACAAGAAACTGCTTCCCCACCTGCTGCCATGATCTTTCTAGAACTTTCTAGCCTTCCTTCACCCGGTCTATAGCAGGTCGTTGATACTCCGCAGCCGGGGTGGTGGGTAAACTCGGGGATGATGGGTTAGGGTCCACCTAGTCCTCCTTTCGGGAGTTTTCTGAGTTTGCTTAGGGTGGTTTTGCTTGATTAAGAGAACCTGGTAGGGGGCGAGTTGATGGCATAATGATTATGTGGCTGGACTCCCATGTAGTCGACCGTGGTTCGAGTCCTGAACCCGGCAGCTGAAAACTCAAAATAGACGCATCTGCGTGCGTGCCCCAAATCCCAAAAGGAGAATGGAGGCGGGATTGTGGCATGGCCATCCCCTGGAGAGGGGGGTGATTTCTCATTTTCTGTCTGTCTCTCCAGCAAGCACATGCACCCTAGCAAAAATATCTCTCTTTTAAAAAAAGAGGGAAAAAAAGCGGCTCTGGTGCAACAAGGAAAATGCATAGGGATTGGAGGAGGCCTGGTCAGAGCGAACGGGGCAGAGACCGTGGGCCCGGGGCGAGAGGCTCGGCTTACTAGGACCGGGGTCAGGGCTGTGTCATGTTCTGGGAGGGCCTGGGAGGCCTACATCATTTTCCCTGTTTCTGCCAGAGTGTTTCAAGTCTCGGTCCCAGCGCCGTACTGTACATGGAGACATCTGAATCCCATTTGCTGCGGTTTCGTGAGTTTCTGTAGAGGTCAGAGTTTCTGCTTCTCGGTGTAAAGTTTCCAGCGAGGCGCTATCTGTGGAGGAGCCCAGGGTGGAAATCTGGAATAACACTGATTTCACATCTTCCCAGATCGAGCGCTGGGAACCTGGCACCCGCTGATAGCTTCCAGCCAGCCCTTTGGCAAGACTGTCCTTCCCTTCCGCACCAGGAGGGGGCGCTGTGCTTTGGAGAAAGGAACCCAGCCAAGCGCGCGTTCCATGGGAATTATTGCCGGTGGAGCTCTAAATCTTTGGATTTTTTGTTGTTGTTGTTGTTAAAGAGGGTTTTTTTATTTTTGCCTTGGTGCATGTATGCTCACCAGAGAGAGACAGAGACAGAGGGAGAGTGAGAGATTACTCCCCAAGGGGGGATGGCCACACTGCAATCCCTTCTCCACCATTCTCCTCCTGGGATCTTGGGCATGCACGCACATGCACCTGGCATGATTATCAAGTCACCAGTCCAGGACTTGAACCATGGTTTGTCTGTATGGGAGTCCAGTGACGTAACCACTACGCCCTCGGCTGGCCCCAGACGTCGGATTTTCAATTTCCGCTTGAGCAGATACGCCTGCTGTTTCTTCTGCCTTGGTCACCCATGTGTGTGAAACGGGGTTGCACATTTCTTCCTAAATTCGCATCCACAAAGGACCGAAGGCAGGAGGGATGGGCCAGCGTGGTGACACAGGTCAGCGTGTGACACAGTGGCCCTGTTGGCTCCAGCGTGCTCTGGGGAGTGTAAGGGGTAAGGTAAAAGGCAGCGGGAATGTAGTTAACTAAGTTGGTGTGGGCGCCATCTTTGGTCCCACTGACCGTGTTGGAAGCCCTTGTGTGTGTGTGTGTACGTGTGTACCTTGTTAGGACAGGCTTAGCTACATGGTGGGGCAAGGCAGAAATATCAATGTCTTTTTCTTTCTTTCTCTTTTTTTTTTTTTTTGAGAGTTTTTTTGCCATAGGGCACATGCACTCGCCAGACAGACAGAGACAGAGAGACAGAAAGCGAGAAATCGCCCCCCAGGGGAGATGGCCATGCCGCAATCCCTTCTCCTCCATTCTCCTCTCGGGATCTTGGGCACGCACGCACACGCGCCTGGCATGAGTTTAAGCCACCGGGCCTGGGACTCAAACCATGGTCGACTACATGGGAGTCCAGCGACGTAGCCATTACGCTAACTGCTGCTTCCTCTTTTTTTCTTTTTTGAGAGAGATTTTTGCTTTAGAGTACATGTGCTCGCCAGAGAGACCCAGAGACAGTGAGAGAGAAAGTGAGAAACCACCCCCCCCCAGGGGGGATGGCCATGCCACAATCCCTTCTCCTCCATTCTCCTCTTGGGATCTTGGACACGCACGCACACGCACCCGGCATGAGTTTCAAGCTGCCGGGTCCAGAACTCGAACCACGTTCGGCCATATGGGGGTCCAGCGCCTTAACCACCATGCCACCTGCTGCCCCCAATAAATCAGTTTTGTTGGTCATGGATACGTTGCATTTCAAAGCTGAAGAGAATCATACAGGACAGAGGTTGGCCAGCTTTTTCTGTAAAGGACCAGATAGTAAATACTTTAGGCTTCGCAGGCCATGGAGTCTTGGTCACGGCCATTCGACCCTGTCCTTTCAGTGCTGAGGTAGCCATGGATGGTATATAAACACGGGGGTGTGGCTGTGTTCGACAAAATTATATTCCGGATGCTGAGTATCATGTTAATTGCTGGTTAAGTCATGTCTGCAGAACGGCTTAGCGAATGGAGTGTTGAGTGAAGGGATGCGAGAATACGCCCTGTTCCATGTGGCGTGTAGTCTCTGCTTTTTGACTCCAGGGAGGTTGGGTATCTTTATTTTTTTAAAAGAATTATTTAATTTATTCACATATTTTATTTTGACCAGAGACAGAGAAAGCAAGAAAGCAAGCCACCCAGTCTGGGACTCGAACTGTGGTCGGCCATGTGGGAGTGTCCAGCACCTTAACCACTACACCACCTGCTATGTCCCCAACATTGGATATTTTTTCAAAGGAGATGTGTTAGGGCTAGCAGGGGGCATGGAGGTTAAGATGTGGGATCCTACATGACTGGCTGGGCAGTTCAAGTCCTGAACCTGGTGGCTTGAAAATCAGGCTGGGTGCATGCCCCAAATCCCAGGAGGATGGAGGAGAAGGGATTGTGGTGTGGCCATCGCTCCCTGGGGACTGATTTTGCTTTCTCTCTGGCAAGCTCATGTACCCTAGAGCAAAAATCAAACCATTACAGAAGGAGATGCATTATTTTACTTTTTTTTTTTTGGAGAGGTTTTTGCTTTAGGGCACATGCG